TGCAGGCCTATGATGAGGGAGCATAATTATTAACAGTTAATTCTGCCAGAACTCGCATGCCAATAGGTTTTACTCAATTATCCTACTTCAGTCCATAACAGGAGGAGATATTTACATCAAGTTCTCATTATAAATACAGCTGATGGCATAGGTTAATCAAATGTAATCATGTGTGTTTTCATTTTCAATTGTTTAGTGCCCCAGAAGCAACAGTTATTTTGGCCAATGTGTCTAAACATTTGACGTTCATCAGAAGCAGTGTGTCATATGTACAGAAACACTTGAACGCTGTTAATGAACCTCTGGAATTCGTGCAGGTATGGTAACTTCAGCTATGATTTCCACAATATGAGTGTTTCACTCTGTAAACTGGGCTATGATTTTCATTTCTACTCTTCCACTAGCCTTTAAGATTTTCTAAAAGACCTTTTCTTTGGCTAAACTCTTTTTTCAGTGCTTTTTCATTTTTTTTTATAGGATGTCACAGCAGCTGAAGGAATGGAATTATTCTCCAAGGAAGCAGTAGAAGCTGTGGAAAGTTTAAGTGAAGAACTCCAAACTGTAAGGACTCAGATTTCCCAGGTCGGTGATGAATGGCTTTAGTTGTCTTGAAGTGAAATAGTGAAACACAACTTTGTTGGGTTAAAAATCAATATTGTGTAACATGGCACACAGGGTGACTTTTAATGCAACATTTCATCATGGCAACATGCTGGGGGGTTTTTGAAAGCGATGCAAAAACTTGCTACGTGGTTGCCTGAATTTAAAATTTTGCATTAAATTGGGTCGTGTAATAAACCATTGCTGCAACAAATTCCATTAAAAGTTGTCTTGTTCAACATCACTTTTAAGGTGCCTGGCTACAGTTTCCAGCACTTTCCAGCAGTTATACTTTGACAGATCAATCCTATCACTCTTAATCAAGAGATGTTACAATAACAGTATCACACAAATGCCAATCATTGAAATCATCATAACCTATAAAGTGTACTTCTCATTGGTTTCATAGCAGGACAGTTTGAACAAGGTGAAAACTTAAGAGAACTAATTCTTGACCAATGAATTTGTTTGGTTATCGGCAGATCAAATCCAAGGTATCCAACACAGCCCCAGACCTGATTGCGGATGAAAAACCACATTCAGCCCAACACTTATCACGAGGCAGCTTGATGTTGCTCGCAGGAGTTGCAACTGTTGCATTGGGTGCATTCTTGGTGCACAGGGTGTGGCACAACACATGATGTAGAGTGCTTCAATCAAGAAAACGCATTGTGATGTAACATAATAATTTAATCAATTGTATCTGATGTCCATCCTCGAATCCCCTAATAACAAGCCTCCACTAAATTTAAGCCCATCTTGTTGGAAGGGTAGAATTATTTTTTTGATTTTATATATCATTACTGTACAGCCTGTATTGTATATACATATTAAGTTTTATGTCATTTGATTAATGCAGATCGAGTCATTCCAATCATTAAATTTTGGGATGTCGGTTCAAGCATCAAACTATTGTTACTGTTTTAATGTTTTCCCCCGTGATTTTTTTAAGAGAGAAGTTTCATTTGATTAAGAAATGATTATTCATGAATGTAATTAAGACCGTTTTTGTTTATATTTGCTGAGAACAAGATGAATGAGACCTTTGTATTATATGTTGAGAATGAATTCAATAATGATTATAATTAAAATTTTGATCATTGGTTTTTGCTTTGATGGTGAGTTTTTGCATGAGTAATTCTTGCACTGTTTCCTGGAACCTACAATCATGGACAAAAGTCTTGGGACAAATTTGCACTTTTGGCGCTTTTGCGTACACGCCAGGCGCGAATACAACTTCACCTGCCTAACCTCGCCCCCCACCCCCCATACAATGTTGAAAACTAGTACGTGCAATTTCACCTGATTTTCAACATTGTGTTGGGGGGGGGGGAAGGGGGGACAGCAACCCGTTTATAAAGGATATACCAGCGTTTTCTTCACATTTCAGTTCTAAAACACAGATAATCCGTTACATTACGTAAGTGTCCCAAGGACTTTTGTCCACGATTGTAGGTCTGCAATGCATGCAGAGCACCTAAGTGTCAGGAAATAATTTATTTTCTTGTATGTCATAAAATTATCAAAAAAAATCAGACAATGTTTCTCTGCATATGCAAGGTTATAGAAGGACAAGGACAAAGAAAAAAAATTCAAATCATGTTCACTAGTGTTTATTATGGGATAGTTGGGTGACTATATGGTGGCCTACCATGAATTATAGCAGAGCTCTGGCAGCAGACTGAAGTAGGCACTTATAGATTGTGCTAGCAAAATTTTTGGCATAATTTGGAAAAACAAGCATAATTTTTGCACTTTTTGTAAAAGTAGCACTGGTAGCATAATCAGCATATTTTAAAACTTTTTTGCCAGGAACATTACCAGAGTCATGACTTGCTTGGACTGTAAGATTGATTATTTTCAAGTTCTGTCCATGGTTCAGTCTTTTCAATTTTGAAATGTCCTGGGAGGACTGGGGAGAAGAATAGCACAGTACTGCATCATTTGCCTTACAGGACAAAAACAGACATGTTCACAGCTTATTTCCATATGTGCCAAAACAACCAAAACACTAAAAATTTAAAGAGCCCCGCAGTGCTCAATTGAGTAAATGACGGTAGAGGAAATAGTGAAAAATCATTCATGGTGTACACTAAGCTGATGACAGTCAGTTTTCGTAAACTTCAAGACATATAAAAGCTCAATGAGTTTGAGGAGCAGATCGCCAACTGCCCATTGTTCACACTTCATATATTTCCAGTAACTTTGGACAGCAATGCTAACTTCTTCATGAGATGATGCAAGATAGAGGTCTTCCATGCGTGGAATCATGCAGGGTTTCTCATTGTCCATTCCAACCCCAGCCTTGACATTGCCATCTGTTGGAGAATATTTCATTTGAAAGTCCAACTTCATACTGTTAATATGTGTGTTATACGCTAAAGCTTTGTATTCATGTTGGAAGCTATAACTTATAATTTCAAAGATCTCTATCAATCTGTTTCCAAGCTGTGTTTCAGACCAGTCATCTGCTTCAGTGTAGAAGTCCATCATAAACCATGTCACAGTTTTCATGTAGAAAGATGGAATCAAGGTGTCCTCACATAAACTACAATTGTTTTTGTTAACTTTTGGCAGGAAACTTCTTGCCACATGTTTTGCCAGTTTGTAACAGTCTGCAGCCAATTTATTGCCATGAAATTTGTATGGTTCTATCTGAAAAAAGAAGCGTCCTGCAACGAGGGGGTTTCGACTGATTACTCCTACAACCCCTGTGTTCATTCGAAGGCACTGGCTCTGAATGAAGGAAAGATGCAAAGCATGAGTATGGTCAGAAATGTAGATAGTCTGGAGTCGCTCAGCATTGAGAGGAATCCCAAAACATACATCAATTGACAGGATAAAGCCTGCATCTAGTTGAGATTCGCATTGTAGATGAAGAGTCAAAGTTTGATTCTTGAGAAATACTCGCATCATATGTAAGTCACTTTCCTCTCGCATTGTCCATTCCAGAGGTAAGTGCTTTTTCAGTGTTTCACGAAAAACCTGGAGCAAATAGGCATTTGTAAGATAGTGTCTGTAGGAGGAATCAACAAAGGAAAACTGACCCAGGAAGGAAAGGACCTCATCGCGGATGTTGTTGTGAAGGCGTGTTTGTATCCCAAGTTTGATGTACAAAAGTTCTGTCACATCTGAATCAGCTAACATAGGGAGGGCAATCGTGAAATCAAACTCATCGGGCTGACCAATCTTGGTACCCTCTGCCATACTTCCGGTTTCTATGATGTAGCACTTGGAAAATATATCGTGCTTTGTCTGCAGTTCTGAGACAGTATTGTTCATTAAGCTTCTTACCAACTGCTTGATGTGCTCAGTTTTGACCAACCGATCAATACTGACACTTGGTAGCCACTCTCTGATAGTCTTGTTTAAGACTGATTGAGCTGAAACTGCAGATTGAAGTTCAGTTTTCAAGTGGTGCACCTTAGAGGTGCTAATCTCTTTCACCTGTTTGGGAGCTTTATCCATATTCATAACTCCCATGTCTTCCTCTGACTCTTCAATTTTGGTCTGACTCTCTTTACATTTGACTGTTCCTGAACCTTTTTCGTCAGACTTTGCTTCTGTGGTTTCCTGTGCTCTCACCATAGTACTGTATGTAGTGTCCTCTTTTAGACCAAAGGCATCAAAAACATTACTGGAAACAGCATGATCACTCTCACAGCTTGGACCTCTCTCAGTTGCTCTAGGTCTAAGCACCTCACATTCAGCTGACTTCTGAATGCTTTTCAGACTTAGTTCCTTGGATTCCTTTTCTATATTTTCTTCACTGTACACTTTATTTTGACTGACAGGTGTCACTTTCTCTGAACTCTTCTTCAAACCCACATCAAAGTCAAAAGGAGTGCTTTTATCGTCAGTGCAGGGCAGCTGAAGATTCTCCTCAACCACTGTATCGCGTTTGCTGTTTTCGTCCGTCTCTTTCAGTATTCTTGGGGTCTCTTCTGCAGTTGTTAAATCTGTTTCATTTCTGCCACTGTCACCAGTTGGGGAGTATTTGTCACCACATATTGAAAGAAGGTCTTGCAAGTCGGATAACATGTTGATACTCCTTTGCAAGATATCAGTCATGGCTTCCATTCCTAACGGTTCAGTGGCTGCTGCTTCCATGTGAAGCATCGATTCCTTGTCGGCAGCTTCACGAAATAACCTGCTTTCACACGAGTCAATCGTTGCATCTAACGAACTGCTATGATCTGGGTTTGACATCTGACCTGGCTGATTATTCTCACTGGTGCAACTAAAAGGTACATCAATTTTTTTTTCTCGATTGAACTCTGATGGACTGTCTAAATAATTCACCTGCCACATTTCGTACGGCCACACTGGTTTGGTAACTAGTGGTTTCGTCACATTTTTCGGTTCAACTTTGACGTCTTTTGCCAATCTCGCTTTCCATCGTTCTTCGACCATCTCTGTTTCAGCTCGCAGTAGCATTAATACTTCGGCATCGAATGGATTGAATGGCACTGAGTGTTTCGCTTCCGCCGATGCTTCCGCCATCTTTCTGTGGACGAAGGAGAGAGCTTGGATTCTAGCAAAGCTGAGGTCGCGGGGTGCGATGGGAAAGGCAACTCGTACCCAGAGTCCACGGTGTATCCACGGTAGAAATTACGGTACGAACGACGTTTCGACCGCTCTACGGTCATTTAAATGTGGACAGTAAAATAAATAACGTATATATTTATGTTGAGAGAGATAATGAAGTAAAAATATGTGCTAAAATATCAAGAACGAGGGTGTTAAAAACAAGTAAAGTATGCAAAAAAAATTTAAGCATGCAAAAAAATATTTTGAACTGAGAACTTTCGCACGAATTGTGTCAGATTGTACATTGAGACTCGGTTTAAGTTTCTTATTAAGGACCGTAAGCACCGACGACGACGAGCACAGAGGATTCCCTCTTACTGCGCTACTGCGCATGCTCGACTCGTCCAGCTGAAGTTCAGAGCCGACGAAGTATGGTTAGCGCTAGTCTCCTCCGCAGCCGTTTTTTGGGATGTCACGCAACGCTCCCCCAAAGAAACGTGCGTGACATCCCGAAAAACGGCTGCGGAGGAGACTCGGTTAGCGCTAACCGGAGTTAAATACCATGAGAACCTATAGGTTTTGATACATCCTAACCAATGATGACCAAGCTTCGAGAAACTCAGTCCAAGGCCCCGTTTCTCGAAGGTCCCGAAAAGTTTTCGCACCCGGAAAGCCATAGCAAACACTCGAGCCTTTTGAT